GTTCAACCTGTATGGAGCTACAAAGCCTCTTATGGTTATGAAATGTTATAATCCGATACATTGGAAACAGATGTAAGGACAGATCAGAAAGGGAACGGTTCCGTGTGAGTTTGAGAAAGATTATAAAAGACAGGAATTCAACGAAAAAAAAAAAGAAGACCAGGAAATGTGTGTGAGAGAGAATGAATAAGCCGAGAGAGTCAAAGAAAGAAAGTAATATGTTGTCAGTAAGAAACAAAACCTATTTCTATATCTATGTGTTATTGTTTACCAATAATAAATTGCAGTTTGTTACGTTTACATTGATAAGAGACAGTTCTGATAGGACTAAGTACAACCTAAATAAAGTTATGACATAATAATAGAAAGCAAAGTGTCAGTATAGGACGATCGTAACATCCAGAAATGCAAGAGGTGTTAAAGTTAAAAGCCTCATAGAATACGGTACTAGTATTTGTTTTTAATTTTTCAGGCATTATAAATTTAAAAGTTGCTATAGGAAACCTTTTACCACTTGCTGATCTCAATACTGGAGAAGATTGTAGCAAAGCCCACTGAATCATGGTAATTTATAACAAATAATTACCGCTATTGAAGCCACAATGAATTATCTGATGAAGTTATTTAGCTAGATGTACTATCTCAGTGTCTCATAAAGTGTTCTGTTTCAAGAGTAAATATAATCAAAATTAAGAATGACAAAATTTTTTATTTTTTCCTTTTGAAGTTCATATGTCATACTGTGCTATAGCCTACAGAGTTTATAATCCTTCTCGTGATTCATGGCATGCAGTACAAATGGCAACATTACGTGTCACTTATTTGACGCCATTTTAGTGTCTATTGACTGGCGTTACTGTATAGTGGTGCGAGTGGTCAAGACAGATGATCCCTCCAGGCGGCCTTCAGCCCCCTTTCGGGAAAATTATGATGTATCTTAACAGAGAAGACTACACCTACCTAGGAAAATACATGATCTTTGGGAACTACAAGACAGTTTCTTCTAAATGCAATATCAAACTGGATATTTATTCAAAACAAAATAATGTTCCGATCTACTATTTCTTTTAAGGTCAAGCTGTACGTATACCTTTTGTAATGTTTTTTCTTTCTCAGTGTGTCAAGAAATTTAGAATTACATTATTTTACATGCATACTTTCATTGTAGTTGAAAAACTGTATTTAGAAATTTTATCTATGTGAAAACTATACACCAAGTAAGTTATCCGTATTATGCAGTGACTGACCACTCCATTAGGGACTCCACACACACACACATGTGTACAGAATGCTTTATTTATTCGCAAACGTGAAACAGACTGATTAGGTAATTTGATAGATAATTGTTTGAGTCTCAGAAACGCAAAAATATAATCATATCGTAGCGTGTCTGAAAGACAATGGGTTTCTCTAACTTTCAAAAGAATGTGACAATAGATATCCTTCTAGTAAGAACATTATTATCAAAGACCATTTCTTGGGCCAGCTGTGCAAA